ACAGATAAATATAAAGCCTGACAAAGTACTTTCATTCATTGCATAACTTCACCGTAGTGTATATGATATGTCAATAAACCTTAGAAAATCTTGATATCTTGAAAGGGATGTGCAAAATAACCATTATATTCAGTCTTTAATTAACTATTAGTAGAGAATAACGAGTAATGAATATACTTTATAGGGATCTGCAGATAAATGTTTAGTCTTCTCAAGCACCAACTATCAAATATCTCACCTGATTGTTGGCACTTGACAATCACCTTCCCTGAATTTTACTCAGGTGTAACTAAAGCCTGATTTAAGGGTTGTTTATATTTCACCTCATTAATCAGAATCTACGAAACTACAATTCCCAGTGTAGATGTGCCATAGAACATGTTGCGAAACACAATAGCCAGCATGTGCAGTTCTAGGGGGGTGTTCGAGTCCAGTTTTGGATAGTCTGCCGTGGTTTCGTTCGATTTCAAAGAGCTGTTTGACGTTCGCTGTAACCTTGGCGCACTGCTGTTCCAACATCCAAATCCCAGAGCTTGAAGATTAATCACGGGGACTGTAGTCCCAAACGATAGCTGGGGATTATGGGTAGTGTAGTGTCTTCGGCCATCCTAAACTCCGAAATGTTTTTCGGATTTCATATCGCATTAACACCATATCCCAACATGCATTGCGGCTAAAACATCCAATCACAAGCTTAAACAATAGCTGAGGATCTTGGGTAATCAGTTCAGTGGCTGTGTATCGCAATGATGCCATGCTCGAAATGTCCCATATAGGCCCACGTCTGTTTCCGCTTATTTTTATTTTGAAATTCAGTTCCTGACAGACGCCAAACATGCCCGAGATTATGGAAATAAGCAAATAAATAAAAACAAGGATGATTGTGTGTTATTGTTGAGTAAATAACAGTGTGTCATTTAGAAAAGAATAACAAATTAGAAGGAAAAAAAGATTTAAAAAAATACAGATTTCAGTATTTTGAGGCTCTGAGCCCCATTTCTTTTCCTCACAGACGACAAAAAAGTCTGACATTATACGATTTAAAATAAAAACAATAATCGTGGCTTGATATTGAGTAAGA